TCTGTAGATTACCATTCAAATAAATGTGAAAATAGCCTTATTAATCTAATATATAAACTTTAATCAGATTTACTGTTCAGTAATAAACCTCATGGATTTATGAAAAACAGCGCATTGATTTGTTTCATACAAAATATTACTATGTAAACGTACATGACAAATAAACTCAAAGCAGTTGCAATCTGAGAGGTTCTGTAAAATGGACCTATATTCTTCTTATTATTATTTTACAGAAAAAAAAATAAAGGTGTAAGTAAGATTTGATTTTGTGTCCTTCTGGCAATAAATTATCCTGAGAATACCAATGTCCAGTTAGCCTCTGGGATTCATTTATTCTTTTTTCTCATGGTGCCTTTCTAAGACTAGAAATGCGCTGTTTAATATTAGGATTCCTAGCAACATCTTGTGGCAGCTATGGAAAACTACAAAACATCACAGTTTTATAATCATATTATTGCATATTATCTCAGGTACTGTGTTTCTGCAGGCATAAAACAATGTTTTACATGAATTTTCTTATTCTGACCTAATAGTGATTTTTGATTTGGACAAACAATCAATAATTTTATCCTTTAAAATAGAAGTTCCGATGCCTCCAAACCCTTACATATATATATACATATATATAATTTTTGGGGGTTCCTTTTTTTGCTTTTGTAGTATTAAAAATCTAACTTTTCTCAAAATGACACAGAAAGCCTTATTTTTTTTTTTGTATTCATCATACCCAATTTCATTTCCCACATATTAGCAAAGTCGAACCACATACATTCATTTGAAACACTAGGTGAGAATTGAAAAGTTAAAAAGGAAGTTGCTACATCTGTTTGAAAAGGCTATTTTTCATGTTTTTATATTTGTAATCAACCCCTTCCTACCTAACTATTTTACAGATGCATCATTTCCATAAATACAGCAGAGACACATCTAAAACACGAAGGACAGTTGGACCAGAGTTAAAAACCTTTGGTCCAAAGCAAATGTTAAACTCCACCCATGCAGGGTTGGTGCGTCCTGCACCTTCACCTTCACATCTGAATTGATTAATTGTGCCCTTAGCATGACTATGGAGCATCCACATGCCGAAGAAGTAATTTGATTTGATGCCAGTGTTGGACCAGGGAATCATCTAAAACGTTGCGGGATGAAACCGGCCCTCTGGGACTTGAGTTTCACAGCCCTGGTCTAAAGCATTTCTATGTATCTCTGGCTCTTCGCTTCCTAATGGAAGGTAAACTAAAGTAAGTACTAAAGTAAACTAAAGTTTTAACTAAAGTCTCAAATCTTTAAACATCTTTTCTTGTTATCTCAATGAATGGTCAGAGGAAATATTTTTATATAACTATTTCTTCAGTTTTCACTAAAAAACTGGAAGTATGTTAAATGCTATGACCCAGAATTTCTAAAGCATATGGTTTGTAGAAATGTTAAAAAGATTCCCATTAATGATATCTGACCCATTGCATTAAATCAGCGACTTTGCAGCTCAACCTCTTTCTCTGTATGAGTCACACAACACCAGGATACTGTTAATTTCATTGATTTTTTTCAACATCACAACAATCCCTAATACTGAGCATGAAAATTGTAGCAGTGGAGAAAATAATTCCCTTTTAAGAGGAAGAAACAGCCAGCAGGACCTGGCTCAGTGTGAGCGGCCATCTGCTGCAACCAACTGGGGATTCAAAAAGATGGCACAAATACACAATAACACATAAGTACTTCACTAGCAGAAAAGAAATTATTCTAAGTGGAATGGAGAAAATTGAAACACTTATACACACAAAAGAAAAAATAGTTTCACTAAGTCTATTCACTTCTGAAGTAAGAAAAAGCATAATATGATAGACTAAGGTACTGTCCTCATAAAGCATAAATGTATTTTATACTTAATGATCATTGTATTTGCATGATTTCTATGCTAACATTTTTGAAGAAAATTATCTACAAAAACAACTTTCAGAAAGATCTGTTCATTATATTTCAATGTACCATACCAGGGCTGCAATGTAGATCAGTAGTCTTAAATTAAAAGTCTAGCCTCTGCTTTTTTTGATTGAAATGTGCGTGTTATCCTATTGTACTTGCTGTGCATAAACATTTATTTTTTTTTTTTTTTTTTTGGGGGGGGGGGGGGGGGGGGGGGGGGGTTGTAATATGCTGGTGAAGATTCTCAGTGATCCAGGTCATAGTCATTCCAAAAAAGTAAAAAAATAACTATCCACTGGACTGGTTTTCCATATTTTAAGATATTTCACTTCCCATCCAAGAAGCTTCCTGGATATATTCATATATATTGGATATATTTGAACTTTTTTGGAATTCTTTTGTGATCAATTACTGTTTTAAAAAAATCTCAATGTCTATGAAGAAAGATCATTTTAAGTCAGCATAATTATAAATGAAAGCAGAGCAGTGCTGTGAATTCTTTCTAGATTAATTGTAAATACCATGCAAATAACAGAAGTAAAATGCATCAGAGTTCTGGTTGTTTATGCATTTAATTAAATGGGTTTTATACACTGTAGAGAGTGTAATGTGATGAAGCTGTTCCTGACAGCTCCATATCCAGACAAATTAGATGGAACAATGGATATCATTTTTTTATTTGGTAGCTGGGATAACTAAGAATATTCAAAATTATATTCAAGCATTAAAGCACATAAAAACCAGACCCAAGCCATGACTGAAGGACAAGAGAAATTATATATATATATATATATTTATTTCATAACATGACCATATCACACTACTTCTGAAGGCTGAGCAAAGTTCGAGACCTCAAAAAAAACCAAACTGATTCTCACGATTTAGACATTTGCTTAAAAGAGAGGTTGCGGCCTTGTACAGATAAGCTTCCACTTTGCCACATTGTCTTAACTTTGATTACCCCTCTCTGATCTGAAAAAGTGGACATTTGTTTACAGTGCCGGTACGCCGTGTTTAGTGTAGATTTTTCCCAGGCTTCTTTTGAAAAAGTGGGATTAAATTAGGCTTAATCCCAATACCCACACCTCTTACAGTATAAATTCTGTATTCAGAATTTATACTGTAAATTCTGAATACATTACCCTAGTAAACCTCAATTGACAACACTAATTGATTTTTAAGAACCCTTAGTTCATGATTTAATATGGAAAAAAAAGACATACAGCTTAAATTGATATTTCTTTCTGACCCACCCAGTGAAATAGCTACACAAGCTATATTAACAACATATTTAATCAAAATAGAGAACCTAAAAAATACAACAAAATAAAATATATATTCCTTTATTTAGTGAAGGAGCAGTGAATGTGAGCACCATTTATGCTTTATCTATGATTAAAAACTTGAAAACCATAGTAGATATTGCTAGATATCTCAAAATGTGAGATATGAGATTTTTGTATACTATTTAGTTGAACAAAAGCTGAATTGTTAAAGAGAGGATGACTTAATGAGCTCCTCAACCCCATCCTTAAATCAACCCCATTATCCCGCAGAGCAGGAAGGAAAATTCTAATCTCCGCTAAAGGAGAAGAATGAATCCTTTAAGAAATTGTGATTGGTCTGAGTTGTGTGGTAGCAGTTTAACAATATATCTCTGATAGTTTGCCTTCAGCATAAATACTAAGTACAGCACAAATAACCTTTCCTCATTGTGTTCCATGATATGTGGCTAAAATTTCATTCAGATTAATTGCATAATCTTGAAAAAAAAAATCTCCAAAATCTATAAATCCATGTTAAAAATGCACCTAACTGCATGGAACGTAATAAAAAATGTTTTTCCAACATCTGCAGGCTGCAGTAAAGGACATGCCTTTTGGGACATTTGTCTTGTGTTTGATCTAAGCTCAAATGTGCAACAGATAGAGGATTATGGGATAATGGCAATCCAGCTTTCTAAAACTGGAAAGCCTGTGTATGAAGGCATTTACCCCCAAATGTATTACAAGTTCTGAGACATTATTTATTTACAGATGACATTGGCGTCTTGCTTGGTTCCAGGTTTTGATGTAGGTATGCATCCCACTTTGCATTCACATTTAAAATCTCCAGGTGTGTCAGTGAAGCAGTGCCACATTCTAGTCTAGACAGTCAGACATAGGTAAAGTTGGGAAGCCTTGATTTGTTGAATTATATCCATCCAGGGAGTAAGGTATGTCAAATAAATAAGCATAAATTCTTAGTAACTGTACTTAAAAAGCTACTTCAGTACCTGTACTTTGCATGAGTATTTATATTTCTAAAGAATTTTTATATTTGGTGACTACATTCGATAACAAATACCTGTAGCTACCGCTCCTTACTTTCTCCAAACGGCCTTGTTAATAATAAAAATACAGATAACAGCATGATGTTACAGCTGTGACATAAAAGAGAGTATGTGTCCATTTGGAGCTCAGTTGATTAAAAGAAGAACACTGATAGTTACATGAAGACAGGGGGTATGAAAACATTGCTGATGATGTATCAAAATTTCCCTCTATTAGATTTAAAATCTACATGTTGCTTGATTTAAAGCCCTATCTTCAGTTTATTGCTATTTGCAACTTACTTTAATGCTCTGAATGCCAGAGCTAAAAAGTAATACTCAGATATGCAGCTGCTCATCCTGGACTTCTGTTTAGTCTAGTCTAAATTATCCAGTGTGACATTTGAATTTTAAACAAAACTAGACAGATTCAGTGTTTTTTATGTTCTCTCTACCAACACGGTGAGCAAATGAGGAAACATGACCTATTTTCTGTGCATAGAAATATTTTTTAAGATGTTTTTTATATCATTTTAGGAGTAACCTTAATATTTATTTATTTATAAGTGCAGCCTTTACTTTTTTACTTATCACAACTAGTGCTTATTTTACTTTTCCTTTTTTGGTGTAAATCTCCTGTCTACACTCTAGTCCAGTAGGTGGTGGTAAAGCGCTTCAACAGTTAGTCTGCTGCTCGCCATGAAAACACAAGATGAAGAAGATAAGCGTATCCCTGCGGAACCGTTTGTAACCAGTTGTTTCCGACCGGCCATGTGAGCGGAAAACACTGCGCCAGGGTGATCCGCACAGTTGTGTTTTACTTCCTAAATTAACAGTTTAATGTCCTCTAACTGTTTTTGAATTGAGTTATTTCTGTTAAATAATAGGTGAGGGGGTTTAAAGCAACAATTTTTTTAAATGCGATACAGTTAAAGACTGTAAATGGCTTCAAACCTTTGATTACTTCTTGCTAGCTGTTTAGCATCGGTTGACAACAGTAAAACCTTTACAATTTTGTCGGTTCAGAATTTATGATACTTCGTCTGTCTTGTAATATGCGTGTATTCCCAGATTTTATTCAAATCGTGTATTGTGTATAACGTATAAATTGTAGCAAGCATTGACGTGTTTTTAATGCAAAAAAAAAAAAAAAACGTTTTAGTAGTTCGTGTCTCAGTGGTATTTAGACACTTGTCTCTGTCATCCGTTAGTAATTATTACATTGCCATTATAACAAACCTATTTTTATTTCTGTATGTGTGATTTAGTGTAATATATTATAAAGATTCGTCTGTTGATAAATCCAGCCGCCCAGCACACACCATGACGTCATTGGTAAGTAAATCACAGTTGTTCTTAAAAATGCTAGTAACATTTATTTTCCAATTACTTTGTACATTCTAGTTCATTAAGTCTACATTGAATGGCTTTATACGTCCCGTTTGTGCTTTAGTAGTAATCCCTGAAGATTACAGAAAAGGCAAAACATGTTTATAGACCAACCTGTTTGTCTATCTTACAGAGTGGCGGAGGTTCCTCAACCACAGAGTACACTGTGAGAGTCCCCAAGTGAGTAACACAGACCAATATGCTTATGAATAGTACATTATTGGTGTAAAACATGAATATAGATTAGCCACACAAGGTTTAGATCTGATAAATAAACTAACACCAAGAGTTTTGTTGGAGAGTATTGTTTTATATTCACCCCTGTTTGTCTTTCCCATAGAAACACCAGCAAAAAGTACAATATAATGGCTTTCAATGCAGGTGACAGAGTCAACTGTTCAAGCTGGACACAGGTGGGCCTTCATATCCCCGCATGAGAATGGAATAATTTTAAAAGAAAGATTTTTTTTAAGAGTTGCAGCAATGTTAAAATTACAAATTACTATACAACTCAATGCCAGTTTGAGCTTTTCCCCCTTCTTTCTCTTACAAGGCACGAATGGAAAGAGACATGAGCGCTCGGCGAATATATGGGGAAGAGGAGATACCTGAGAGCGGTGCTGGCAGTGAGTTTGGCAAAAAACAGCGAGAAGAGGCCAGGCGAAAAAAGTTTGGAATAGTGACCCGAGAGTTCAAAGTGGAAGACCAGCCTTGGATCCTTAAGGTCAATGGGAAAGCTGGGAAAAGGTTAGAAAATAGAATCTATGTTGCTCTTATAAAGATATGAAATTGAAAGGTTTAACAAATGTTAATATATTTTTATTTTTTTTGCAATGTATTTTTGTAGTTCATGCTTATTATTTGATTGTTCTGTTTTTTTAATCAGGTTCAAAGGTATAAAGAAGGGTGGAGTTACAGAAAACGCATCCTACTACATTTTTACACAGTGTCCAGATGGAGCTTTTGAAGCCTTTCCAGTTCATGGGTGGTATAACTTTACACAGCAGGCGAAGCATCGAACTTTGACTGCTGAGGAAGCTGAAGAAGAGTGGGGCAGGTGAGGGAAATGAAAGAAATTAAAGTTATTTGGGGGAGGAAAAGGACCTAAAATATACCTGTATAATAAACCATGTACGATTCATGATTCCCTACTTTTACAGGCGGAACAAGGTTGTAAATCATTTCAGCATTATGCTTCAGAGACGCCTACGGGAGAGCGAGCGCGGTGAGGATGATGACGATGAGACAGAAAAGGGTGGGAAGAAGAAAAAGAAGGGGAGGGGAAAAAGTGGCGACTTTCTCATTCACGGCCTTGAGGATGACCTGGAGATGAGCAGTGATGACAGCGACAGCAGCATGGGAGACGGTAAGGAAAATCATGAGGTGCACACACCCTCTTATAGAGCCTATCATATATCTGATAGTCATCAATATTGTTTCTGTTTCAATCTGATTCTTTTTTAATTGTTTTTGCTCTCATTTTATGTAACAGATGGAGAAAGCAAGGCAAAGACAAAAAAGGATTTGGGAAAAGGGAAAGGAAAAAAGAAGAAGCAAAAGGGCCACGATAAGGAGGCCCTTGAAGACAGTGATGATGGAGATTATGAGGGCCTAGAAGTGGATTATATGTCAGAGGAAAGCAGGTTAGTCACTAAAATTTCCTTTATACCATCCCAGCGCCGCTAAACACAATCAAGTTCGTCACACAGGTCGGATTGCACGTTTATGGGATAGTTTTCTCATGACAGAACAACACCGACATTCAAAAAGTTTATCTGCAAAGCTCTACTCCACATAAATACAGAACAAACAAGGAGCCTCCATTTAAAATCTCAACATACTATCGATTTTAGAAGTGAGCTCTATAAACTTAAAAAAATATCTATATAGAGATGTTTTTTGTTGCATGTAAGGGTTGCACAATATATAACAGAAAACCGTCTTTATTCCTTATGCACTGTATGCAATAAGTATATTTTTAAGAAGTGACTGAACAGTTATAGGTTATAGCTAAGGATTCAGGCGCCATACATTCAGACTAACTATACTTAATGTAAATGGAAATAAATGTAAATGAAACTACTTTGATGTAGAACAAAAGGAATTGCCAATTATGAATAAGTTTGTAAGAAATATTTCCAGAAGATATTATTGTGATGGGATAAATCCAAAGTAGATGGAGGTGGAAGTGTTTTCTCTATTTGTTTAATTATAAATGAGAATATATTTCCCAATATTACTGTATGTTTTTCTAATGTTGTCCAGCTCTAGATAACACCACTTGGTGTTTACAGCCTTCTATTATGATAAATAATACATTTATCACTTGTTTAGATTCACTAAAGATGGTACATGTTTTAATTTTTAGTCCCTTTTTTTGCTTTATCATTTATCAGAATCCTCATAAGGTATGGTTATAAATTATCACTTACAATTTAGATAGAGTCCAAATATGTCACTTTAAGAGCTTTCTAGGTGCCGCTTTGATCTGATAATTAAAATAAATCTTCTTTCACAATCAGCACTTGATGCTTGAAATGTAAAACAAATATCCACAAGCTACTAGATCTGCTTTATTTCCTCACATCCAAATGCTGCAGCCACCATATCTGAGAATTTGCTGATTGATCTATTTTTACATTTTTGCTTCATCATTACTTGAATTTAGCAAAAAACATATATGTCTCACGGAACAGCGTACTGCGCAGTGAACAGGTGATTCTTAATATAGGATGACAGGGCTGTTACAAAGTGGTAAGTTTCTTTGCTCTCATGTTCAACATGATTGATTACGATTAAAGGCTTATATAAAAATAAATGTTTGAGGTTAGGGGACAATGCTTTTCCGTGCGCTGAGTTGCCCTCAGTTGATTTCTATGGCAAGCTACAGTTGTATGTCGATATGTTCATTCTGCTCAAAGCCCTTTCCTTATTCTGATATCATCAACATTCAGTGTAGGGGTGAAGTTTTGCATTTGGGAATGGTTGTGTTTTATTGTCGCTCTCTGTCTTCCCTCATCAGCTCAGACGACGAGCCGGTAAATGAAAAGGTCAGCAAAGCAGAAGAGCATCCTAAAGGTAGCAGCTTTTGATAATTGAAAACAAAATCAAAGTTAGAAATATTGGAGTCAGTTGTATGCATAATGTGTTTAAAAACAAAAAGTGCTTTTACTGGATTTTATTAAATAGGAATTATATAAATTTGCCTTTTACTTTTGTTTTGTTTAGTCTCGCTATTAAAATCACTTCAAGATAAATGCCAGGGCTGGGTTTGTGTTAACCTAAAGGCATGAATGTTTTGTTCTGGATAAATAAACGTGTAGGCATAGATGAGATGTCAGAAAGTGAGGAAGAGAGCGAGGAGGAGAAACAAAACGAAGATGAAGCCAAAGAGGAGGAAGAGGAGGAGGAAGGCAAGAAAACCCCAGTTCAAATGGAAAAGAAGAAGAAAAAAGGTAAAACCCCATGATGCTTTTCTATGCAAGACATAATAAATATTGCAAAATATTCATTTATATTTTAATGCAATTATGTGTTTTAGACAGCAGCGGAGAATCGGACAGCTCTGATGACAGTGACATTGAGAAGGAAACCGCTTCTGCTTTGTTTATGGTGAGTAATGTAATATTTTTTAAATAGTTTACATCTAAATCCTTTCTGCTTGTTAAATATTGAGTGTAAGAGTGCTCAAAATCTTTGGAGCAATTTTTGATCTTCAGTGTTATTTTGCTCCTCACAGAAGAAACGTACACCTCCTAAACGGCCCGGTGGACGGGGCTCCACAGGGAGCTCCAGGACGGGCAGTCGTCCGGGGACGCCATCCATCGACTCTGCCTCCACCTCCAGCACGTTACGTGCTGCTGCCAGCAAGTTGGAGCAAGGTTGGCTCTATTAAAATCAGCAAAAAATGTTTAAACTGAAAAAAATCTAGATTTAAATGAAAAATATGATAGAGCATTAGATGCGTATGAGTCTGACTATGATAAAGGCAAATTTTTCTTCAGGGAAAAGACAGATTCAGGCTGCAGCTACTGACTCACCAGCAGCCAAAAGGCTGAAGATGGAGCCCAGCAGTCAGAGCCCAGTCCCCTCTGGGAAGAGCACACCTCAACCCCCGTCAGGGAAATCCACTCCAAGCTCAAGGTATGGATTTCGTTTATCACAATGAAAAAAGATGTTGGCACCTAAAACCGCTTTTAAAAGAGCTAAGACTTTATAGATTCCAATTATTTGGGATAAAATTCCCCCTAACTTTGAAAAACAGTCATTGGCTGAATACAAAATATTAAAAACAAATATTGTAGATATTTTGAAACCAATCACAGTTTACAAAAATAAAATAAATATAAATGCAATTTTATCCACAAACAAGCTTAGCCTCTGTTTGAATTCTCTCCCTGCAGTGATGTGCAGTTAAATGAGGACGCTGTCCGCCGCTACCTGATTCGTAAGCCGATGACCACCAAAGACCTTCTGAAGAAGTTCCAGACGAAGCGTACAGGTTTGAGCAGTGAGCAGACAGTCAACGTGCTCGCACAGATCCTGAAGCGCCTCAATCCAGAGCGAAAGATGGTCAACGACAAAATGCACTTCTACCTCACGGAGTAAGCGGCAAAGCAGGAAGGGTGGGAGTCAAGAACCATTGTAGAACCTTGAGAGGAGGTGTTACAGCAGTTATGCTCACTTTTCACAGTAGCTCTACCCTCAGTTCTCGGAAGAATAGATTTAATAAAGTCTTTTTTTTGTTGTTGTTTAACTTTCTTAATTAGGTTGAGTCTGAAGTGATGGAGCAAAGCTGTGCTTATGTTTTACTACAAATCTGATCAATTGTTAATGTGATCCTAGAAGTTAGCCTTTAGCTGCTTTTTCCCTGGTCAAAATATTTTATAATAAAATTAAAACTGGACTGTTTTTTTTGTGTCGCTGATTTGTTTTGATATATTATAACTTTAGCATAAATATGCCCCACATTGTTCCTCATTTTACAATCGTGCATAAAACTAGAAAACATCCTAAGGAAATTTTGGCACTGCCTGCCACTGGGTGCGTATTCATGTGTGCGTAATATTTGGACCGGCACCAAAGGCTTAATCGGGTTAGTTAGGTTAAGAACACTTTTCTTTTATTAGGCGGATGAAATATGCTAATTTTGTGAGAGAGGAATTTTGGGTTTTCATGAGCTGTATGCCAAAATCATCCGTATTAAGACTATAAAGGACCTGAAATATTTTAGTGTGCAATGAATCTAAAATATATGAATGTTCAAGTTTTATCATTACATTATGGAAAATAATTAACTTTATCACAATATGCTAATATTTTGAGAAGGACCTGTACAGACAGCAGCTGGAGAGAGATCGAATCCCATTTACAATTGTTGACTCTTTTTTTCCCTTCTTATTAGATTAGTCTATGCTTTATTACAGAGGAAATGCGAGCGCTTGTAATCTAGGTAAAAAAAAAAAAAGTTAAGAAAAAAAGCATAAAAAGCTAAACAAAAAGTTTAAGTGATTAAGCCAAATTAAAGTAAAAAATGTAAGCGCCTGTATCAGCATTAATGCTCTAAGGCAGGCATCCCCAAACTCGGTCCTCAAGGCCCCCTGTCCTGCAGGTTTAGAGGTTTCCTTGCTCCAGCATAGCTGATTTTAATTGAAAGCTGATTAACAGGCTTTTGGTCTACTGCAATCATTATAACCAGCTGTGCTGAAGCAGAGAAACCTATAAAACCTGCAGGACAGGGGGCCTTGAGGACCGAGTTTGGGGATGCCTGCTCTAAGGTTATACAAGTTGTATTTCTTTTACTGTTTTTTTAATGAAATTCTTATAGAAGCACTTTTATGATTTTTCCTGAATAAATTTAGTAAGTGGCCGTTTCTTATTACATTGACCTTAATTTTGGCCATCAAAGTACAGTTTTTTTTTTTAATGTTACCAAAGTTATAAGGTCTTGTCCTGTCCTCCAATAACACTCTTGGCTTTAACTTTTTATTTTCAAAGTATTTCAATGAGTACCTTGTAAAGGGTGAAACAAGTGGGGTTTTTTTTGTTTGTTTGTTTTCCTCATTACAGCAAAAAAAGAGAATAGAGCTGGATTGAGAAATATTTATTAATAATTTAAAATAGTCAAGTTTCAGATGAAAATTCTACACCATGTCTTGTTTTCATGTTTTTAAGCTTTACTTTAATCCCTCAGCTTAAGGTGAAAAGCAGTTTCAGGATTTCTAAGAGTATATCATACAGAAGGATAAAAAGAAACAGAAAAAGATGGTATAATTATATACAATACAAAACCTTTCCTTCAGTTTCATAATGACTTTGATTTTTGGAGGTTTTGAAACACAATAAAATATATTGTTTTTACAATCTTTTAGAATCAGTCAAAAATATGTTATTTAAAATGAGAAGCAGTAGGTATTAGTCTGGAAGGTTACGACAGATGACGGAGATCCGTCGCTGGCGAGGCACCCTTTGTCCGTTGAACACTGACTCTTCATCTTTTAGGATCTCATGTGAGAAGTTATATCTAGCCTGGTCCCTGTGAAAACAGGACAGAAATTAAAGCATAACTGCAATTTATATTCGGAAATACATTCAAATTTAATGGATATGTCTAATGAACCTCAGGATGTAGAGGGAGCGACGAGTGAGCAGCAGATCCAGCCATTCATCGGGTGAGTTATCCTTTACTAAACGCATGATGCTGTCGGATAAAAGACTCAATCCGGCGATGGTGCTTCCACAAAACTAAAAAAACAAGAAGAGAAATTAAGATAACAGACTAGCTCACAAAAACAGCGTAGATAGAGAGGCACCTTGACGCTGTCGATGTGGGGCTTGATGTAACCAGCTTTGTCCAAATCTAGAACGTGCACGGGGCCCAGAAGAGGACTGCCCTGAGGGAATGCTAAAGATCGGACACGGTTCAGGATTCCCTCACACACCGGCCCCCACCTCACACGCTCCGTCTCTCTGTACCCATGAATTGCCTGAATATGAACAAGATAACAGTGCAGATTAATTTATGATAGGAATCAAATATATGCATCATGTAGAGTTGTTTAAAAGACTTTGGAAAGCATATGTATTGATGTTTTTAAAAGCAAATTGCATGATTGCCTGCAATTACTTAAAAATCAGCATGCTTTCATAGAAACCTTTTTCAAAAAGTATTTGGGAAAACTGCTGATTCTGCATTGCAGAACTGTAAGTCGATATCATAGGAATCAGGCTGTGAATGAGCCAACACTATGGCAGATGAAGCCATAGATTAATTGACTTTAGATTGACATTAATTGGGAAGCATTTCAATTTTATCCTTGTATTTCCTGGTCAGCTGAATAAACCTATTTCTTGTGTTTTATTGTTGTAATCAATAGTTTTAATTAAAAGCAGGTGAAATGTTTTGGTGCAGCTGTGCATATAAAAAAATAGGGATTTTATTAAAAAAGGAAAGGAGGACAAAAACACAATTAAAAGACCTGTGATCAGATTACCTTGAGCAATATCACCAAAAGCATGTGTACTTGGTAGATGGGTTTTGAAGAGAATTTATCTCAATAAAATATTTTACAAAATTAAAGAAGTCTGTTCAGTAGATATAAAAAAGACCAAACATAGATAATCTATCACAAACTAGATTAATTAAGTCCCTGTATAAACAAAAACCTGCAAAGATGCTGTAACTGATATTGAAGCGGTGCCACTGATGGGGAAAACAAAATGATATAATCAGTGGAAGGATTTTACCAAACATTCACCAGAAGAATGCGCTTTCCTCTGTTACTTGTGTAATTTATTTAAGAACACTTTCTTCCTTCCATTCAACTTTCCATGATTGGGCCAAGATGCATCACACTCCAGATTAAAAAAGAACAAAAAACTTTAGTGACTTTCTGTAATTATGATGGGGGTCAATGGCTGCCTGCTTGGCAGCTTTTATAAACATGATTTTGTAACATGGCTATAATAATATAATTTGATCCATCTATTTTTAGTCAGGTTAAAATTAGGTTTTATTTAGCTGTAAACCACACATTTAAAAACAAACTAACATACATGACAAATGGGGTGTTTGATTGACCAATATAAGTGTTATTCAATTGTTCCTGCACTCACTGAAGATGCCTTACATCGTCCCAGTGGTCAAACTCGTAGCGTTTCTTCTTCAGACCTGGTTCCAGCTCCTGCAGCAGAGCTGCCTCCTCCTCTTCTGTGATGAAACCCGGCCTCACCTCCACCTGAGAGCCCAAAGCTCCCACCAGCTCTGGGCTGGACCCCACGATCACCTCATCCTGGGAGGGTGACGGGCTGCCGCTGCTCCTAAGGGTCGAACAGCAGCGGAATGGAGCCCCTGGTCTATGAGTCTGTCTCAGGACCGCCAGCAACAATTTCATCCTACCGTAGGATAAATCATTCGATAACGACAAAGAACACAACTGGTTACCGTCCCCTGTGCTTCGTTTCGTTAACTGTCAGGCAACTATGGGGCGCGCCATGTTGAAACCGCAATGCATTCTGGGGTAAGTAGTCCTTCTTCTTCTTCATGTTGGATTTATTGGCAGTTGACAACAAACATTTAGTAGCATTACCGCCACTTACTGGTATGGAGTGTGGGTCGTGATGGACTATCTACTTAATAAACATATATATAATTTCTAAGGAAAAAAAAAACTACAAAATAATACATAACTTTGTACTCTATCCATCTATATATTACACATTCACATACAAATTCTATGAAATAATTTAGTTTTCTTTAAAAATAAATATTTGTATATGTTTACTCCCCAAATTCTTCCTCAAAATATCTAAAAAAAAATTTTTTCCTTAATAAATTCAAACTCTCTCGTCCTATATCTTCTCTCCCTTTCATATTTATGTCATTCCAGTCTGACATGTTCTGTTGTTTCCTATTTTCCTCATTAGTCCCATTTGCCAGTAGTATGCCTTTGTATTTTGAAAAGTGTATAATTAAGTCCTGTTTGCCCAAATCTTAACCTTGTTATCACTCTCTCCCCCTTTCTATTTCGTCTTCCATTTCTTTGTTTATCTACTATCTTCTGAATTTTATATAACAACCTTTCTGGTTTTTTTTATCCCACCTTTTTTCCATTTGCATCAGTTTTTCTTTAGTAAAACACTCTTTCCCTCCGATTTACTTGTTTTAACTGTAAAACTAATAGGATTTTGAATTGCCCTCTTCGCCATTTTATCTGCCCTCCTTGTTGAAAGGAGCTCCTTTCCTTCTACTCCAACATTTGCTGGAACGCACAGAAACACAACAATCAAACCCATATCTTATATTCTGAATAATTTATTAAATATTTTAATAGAATTAAGTAGTCCTTCAGCAGAGAAACTACAAAAATATAAATCCTTTTTTAATTAATATAGGAGGATTTTTTTGGATTCTTTAGATGTTTCTTCAAAGTTCTTTTGAAATAAACTGAATGAATTGTCGTTACTTCTGCATCTTTTTACAAATGTAAGCCCAGTTTTCACACTAGAGAAATGGTAAATATGTTTATTTAACAGTATTACAAAAACGTTACGTATTCCTCCCAAAAAATAAAAATAAAATGCTGCAGTTCTTGACTGTGAACACTAGAGGGCAAAGGACACCAATGATTGTGAGTAGTGGGGTTCTGCTTATAAACAAGTCAAGTATTAGTGGTAAACAGGAGGGGTGTTTTCATATTTCCACCCTCTGTTTGCATACAGTAGTTTCAGATTTGTGATAAATAACTGAGAGGGGGGAAAAAATAATCAAAACTTTATGCTGTCATACATTTTAGTTAAACTACAAGCCCAGCAAATGGAGGAGGAGGTAAATTCTTAATTTTTATTCATTTTCTTTAGTTAGTCTTCTAAAGTTCACTTCTGCTCTCAAAGTTGTGGCTTTGTGACATTCCTAACCTTATCTTATGTATATCATTTAGCTATAGTAACAGTTAGCAGAGAGTTTGCAAATAATCTTATTGTGGGCTACCAAGGTCAGGAGATAGGGACTATTAAAAAAATAACAGCTTTGTGACGTTATGAAGATAACCATCAAATGCTGGAGATAAACTGATCACAGTGATGTCAGAAAAAAAAATTATATATATATATATTTTACTCCAGAGCTGATAAAATAAAGGAGAAACATTTGTCAGGGGGTGCTCCTCCAATGCCAGGAGAAAGAGACAGCAGAATATTTTTTAGTGAAGGATGTGTTGTCATACTTACCATTTCAATTGAACGTGTCTGATTCATGAATTTTATCGTATATGGTTCAATGGTTTTGCTTCAGTTCAGGAAAAGACCAAGAAAAGACAAAACACAGACAAGTGTTTTGTCTTTTCACAATGTGGCACAATGTGGTATCTGAGGCCCTCCTGCCATCAAAGAAGCTACCCATAGTCCTCACTGTGTTTATGCAGATCATTAATTACGCCGCAGGTTACAATAATCAGTAAGCATCTACAATACCAACACAATTTTTTTTCTCCAAAACATACTCTGATTTGAGGCCTTTTTCATAGTCAAGTGTTTCAACATGCCATCATTACCTTTATCCCTGAATCCATCGTAATTTTCATCTATATGTCATCATGTTCTACAAGGACCACTCCTCAAGAGTTAATGTTGACTATGTTCCATGTCCTCTCCATAAAGCTCCATAAAGGTGAGTTTACATGTCGCGTACATGAGGGATGTAGAGAACTGCAATATTACATAATTTTAGCATCCATGCCCCTCCTACCATAGCTGAATTCCTGCACCCTGCATCTCAGACAATTTGTAACGACACCAACTTTTCCAGGTCTAAAAACATGGCAGATAAAATACAGCTACTGGAGGGTTTGCAAATATAAAAATCTACAGACATTTTATGATTTTGCACATAAATGTCACGACAGTCAGAAATTAGTGTCCCTCTTGGATGAAACAAGCTTATTGTTTCTTTCCAACAGTCATAATGTTGGAAACAAGAGTTTTCTACTTCTAAATGTAGTTTAGCATTGTTAGCTAGTAGTCAGTGGCTGAAGGAATCCCACATTTCTTTGCGTGACTCAAGGTACAAGCCAGGGGTGCCGGCAGGAACTTGGGGCCCCATGGAAAACATTGAAATTGCCCCCCCCAAAAAATAAATAAATAAATATTCAAGCGTTAAAATTGCTTTAAAGAGCAACTGAAGAGTACATTTAATTTATTTTTGTAATTTTTATTGTTTAATTTCCTCAAACAAACAACATCTGAATGTGAAAAAATCAAATATACATTAACTTGAAACTTTACATTAAAAATCATCCCCTGAAAATAATAACAGCTTATTTAAAACAAAAAACACAAATGCATCTCTGTACACATGAACAGAAAATAGGTTTTGGATTGTAAAAATATATTCCTATTAGGTTTCACTATAACTTTAATAAATCACAAATTATTTTAGGCTGGCCCTGAGAAATTTTACATTCATGTTTGGCTGCTTCAGGTTGTTGATGAGAATGATCACAATTTATCTATGTCTTTTAATGGGTGTAATTGGATATGAATATTAAAAATTTAACTAAATGTTTTTTATACTCACAAAGATTTTTATACAAGCTGCTGGAGGCTACCCAATGCACCTCAGCTGTCCAGGACACAGTATAAACAACTGGAGGCCATTTCATTTATAGTGACCATTATTAAAAAAAAAAACATATATTTTTTAATTTATATATATATATAGAAACTTTTATTAAATTTTTTTGGAATGGTAAAAAGAGGGAAACTGCACTGATGCAAAGTAGTAGCCTTTCCTTGATCACAACTTTATGTTGCCCATCTGTCACTGGGAGAAGGAGGGGGGTTGAAGAGACAGGGCTGCTGATGAACGAGGGACAAAGACAGATATTTGATGTCAGTATATTCATGCTCTGTTAGTAAGTAAGTAATGTTTATTTATATAGCACTATTCACAGATATAAAGATCAATAAGTTCTTCACAGTCACAAAATGCATGGTCATAAAAAGACCCTTAATCCACTAGAATTAAAATGATTTCTCAAACAAATAGGTTTTCAGTTCACTCTCAAAAACATCAATAGAATTAAGTAAGCGCAAGGAAAATGGAAGATCGTTCTTGAGTGCCCGCACGACCACCTGAAAGGAGTCATCTCCATTGGTCCTGTAACGAGTATTAGGGACCATGAGCAGGTTCTGAGGTGTCAGCCTCCAAGAGGGGGTATAAGGACACAACAAGCCTCTAATGTAGCAGGGAATCTGACCAGTGAAGGCTCTGAAGGTCAGCACCAGGATTTTAAACTGGAACCGAAAAGATCTGGGAACCAATGAAGAGCTTTTAGAATCGGTAATAATATCGGTAATATGAGCCCTTCTGTTTCTACGAGTCAGTAACCTGGCCCCAGAGCTACACTATTTATTGCTGAAAAAGGAGGGAAAACACAAATATTATTTAATTTTCTGCTGGATTTACTGTTTATAATTAAAAAATATAGTTGGACATATATTTTCTTCTGCTTTTGGGCCCCCCCTCAATCAGGGCTCTTAGAATCTTCCTAACTTCTCCCCACCCAACAAAGTTTCAGGATAATCCCTGAAACTTTGTTGATCTATCCCATCTTCAACACAGGTGAATCGATTGAGTTGCTCATTACCAGGGTTGCTGAGCTGATTATTCGTTTGGTTCAGGTGTGGAGGAGAAGGGATGCATTCAAGGACAGTTGCTCTTGAGGACTGGAGTTGGGAGTCTGGCTCCACAGTATTAAGCATTAAGTACTTAAATCTTAACTGAATGTTTGGATTAATGTAAAGTATAAAGAACAATTGAATAGTATAACAAATTCTGTATGTGTAAATACAGTGGTGTGTATAAGGAGGGATTGTAAAAGAGCGTTTGATATGAGCGATGTCATGAAGAGAAATTCTGATCCATGCATTAGCTGTAGCTTGATTTTGTCTTTTTGTTGTTTTTATGTATGGTGTGGATCAGGCTTGCAGAGGTTTGCCTGGAAGTCTGTTACAGGTCTGTGGAGGAGCGGGTTCAGCAGGGGCGGAGTGCTCTACATGCATTCAGTCATTGAATTATTCAGTCTTATGAATCATTGAGTCATGCCACTCCTTTTTAGGCCCTCGTCTCAGAGCTGCAGCCTCTCAGCCTCAGACTATATGAACATCTCATAGAAACTAAAACAACAAAAAAAATGATTCTAAGATTTTTGCAGACATGCTTCATCTCCAGATTCAATTAATGGGTTAAAAAAGATCATTTTCACTGGCGTGAAATTTTATGGTCTCAGATAAATCTGTCGAAAGTTTATGCTTCCTTTTTTAAAGAAGTTATTAAAGGTTAATTAGATTCCACATCAGGCTGAGCAGAAGTAGCCCATTACTTTTTCACATTTGGTTGCAGTCTGCTTCCTCTCAGTTTAAAGATTTCAGGGGGAAGTTAAAACATCAGCTGAAGTTATCCCTACATCATTTTAAAAATATGTAATCAGTAGATACATAGTATTATT